GCACTGCCAATACAAAGCCATATTTCTAACACTAAAGTGTCCCTCTGGCCCCACCACAGTGGCTATCGATGGATTAAAGAAAACCTTTAAATACTCCACGAGTGTCACCGCGAGGAGGAACCTAATGCACGTTAGGCCTCTAGTGTTGTTTCACATGGTTAAACTCTGATATACTAGACAGCCACTAGAAGTAGACTAAACCCTGCAATGTAAACATTACAGTTTCTCTAAACTATCATGTTTTTAGATGCACGGTTAAGGGGATAGGGACACGGCCCCCAGATCACTTCAATGACATAAAGTTGTCCGGGTTCCTATAGTATCCCTTTAATTCATAACCTGGAAGCAGACAAACTACAAACAGGTAGATATCTTTACTATATCTCTCGGTGTGTCTGTCTCTCCTCTTCTAATGGAGGTGGTTTGTAGTTCAGATCATTCACTGCTGCAATTGGCTGAGCTGTGTCCGTACGTTTAATAAGGAAGTCTTTTTCTTGAGTGAGGAGGTGTGGCTAAGGAGGCGTGGCTAAGGAGGCTGGCTTATGGCGCAGCATTTAACATTTAAATACGTTTTACTTTTTGTATAAAAACTATAAAATATTTGAGAATGCAAAAATACAGCCAGTTAATGAGGCCAAAACCTAATGCATTTATTAAAGTTGAATTTGTGCACAGAGTGTTCCTTTAAATAACACCAAAATTGATTAAAAGAAATGGATCCCCTTAACAGCAAACTGTAGGAAAATGAAAATGGACAAGCATTTTGCATACGTTTTGCAGTTTGTGTTTGATTCACTAAAATTCCGTGATTCATTACATTTGAAGATTTTACTTTGCCTGTTTGTTTGCCGATTAATTTAATGAACAAATCGGAACATGTTTTATGGTAAATAAACTGATAACCTGCTAGTCTTCAAGCTAATAACATTACATTCCTGGTTACCAGTTACTGATTTACATGTGTGATCTTTATACCTCTCATGGGTGCGCCCAGCATATTTAATTAGGGCGTTCACCTGGGAGTTTGTTCTCTGTTATTTTTACACTTTATATATGGTGAGTATTTATTGAAGGGAAACTCCAAACACCATAACCACTAAAATACACTGATGATGTTATGGTGCCAGGACTGCGTAGCCATCATCACAATGTAATTTGTCATACTGTGTTAGATAAGTTTAACAACTTAACCCCTTAAGGACACACGTGTGACATGTCATGATTCCCTTTTATTCCAGAAGTTTGGTCCTTAAGGGGTTAACTGGATCACACCTGTCTCCTGCATCCCGATTCTCTGTTTAGCTCCACTGAGTTAAAAAAAGCTGTGCTAATCAGTCGAGTGTGTCAACTGAGCATTATTAAATTAATGTGTGCAGTCCGGTATATACCTTAATTTAAGTCTAAGACATCCAGTGTCTTCCGCAGGAGAGACTGATTCAGCACAGGCATCTGGGGAACCCATGGAAATTGTCTAATTCTTCTATATGTTACAGTGGGACGGTGCCAAAGCACTCCTGGGTCCATAACCTTTAAATTGGGCTATAGAGATCATACTTAGGTACTTAGAGTGTTCTATTAAATCCTCAATCATAAGTGACTTTTTTTTTTTGAGTGAGTTGTGTGCGTGAGTGTGTGGGAGTGGCTGGTTGTGAGGTTGCATGTGTGGGGTAGATTACCTTTGGTGTGTGTATAAAGAGGCTGCTTGTGGGGTTGTGTGTTTGTAATGTGTGGTGGGGGATAAGGGTTGATATACACAAAGGCTACGAATCTAAAAAACAAAATTTAAAGATTTAATTTTTTACATTTTTTTTTTTATCCTTTCCTTATAGCCCTTTTGTCTAAATGACTCTGACAGTGTACTCGGGTGCTGATCTCAATCTCTTGTATCAGATCAAAAGCGGTGATAGCCTGGCTGTAGATGATACCTTGTTTGGTGTGATTGGGATGGAAGCTGGAATTGTGGAGGTAGCTGTATCTGCCATTGGTGCCAGTTATTGTGCAGTCCAAGAAACTCACACTGATTTGAGAAGCACATTTTGAGGTTTATTGATGGATGTAATGTATCAAATGATCTATAGAAGTCTATAAAGCTTTCTTCTCCTTCTGTCCATATTATGAAAAAAATCATTACTGCAAAGATAATATGTACATCGTTTGTGGGGCTGTGGACGGCGCAATAACTTTCACCAATGGCATTGTTCCTCTACGTCCACTATTCCAGCATCCATATCAATCACATCAAACAAGGTATCATCTACAGCAATATTGTACCCTTGTTAGTCATCACTTCACCCAGACTGATCATTCCATCCAAAACCTCAGGATTTGAGTTCTTAAAGGGAATTTTAAAGACTCATGAACGAAAGACATTTGAGATCACACATTTTAATACCAGAACTGAAGGGGGAGAGAGAGAATCAATGAGCTTTCGGTGCCAATGACCCTGATGCTGGTTCAGCGGTTGTCCTTCCTTAAGTAAGAACTACTGCATGCTGGGAACACCTCACAAGACTTGCAGTTTTAGAGATAATCTGGTCTGGCCATCACTATTTGGTACTCAGATTTTTTTTCTTCCACACATGAAAACCAAGAAATGACTTAACTTGCTGCCCAAAATATCCCACCCCTTGACAGGTGCCATTGTAATTATATAATCTATGTTATTCACTTCACCTTTCAGTGGTTTTAATAGAGTGCCTGAAAAGAGTATAATTGAAAAAAAAAAAGAAAAAAAAAAAAAAAAAGGTGAAGGCCACAAAAACGAATAAAAAAACAGAAAAAAAGTTGCCTTTAAAAGGAAACTATAGTGCCAGGAAAACAAACTAGTTTTCCTGGTACTATAGCTTTCCCTTCTGTCAAGGCTCTCTCCCACGCCCGCAGTGCAAAAAGGGTTAAAAATCCCCTCTTACCTGGGTCCAGTGCCGATGTCCCTTGGTGCTGGCTCAGCTCCCTCCATGCTCCTTCCCCATCGACTTCAACCGGTGGGGGAGATTTAATGCACTCACATTAGGATTTCCCCATAGGAAAGCAATACTCAATGATTTCCCCAATGCTTTTCCTATGGGGATTCCGGTGATGCTGTAAGTCGTCATCCATAGTGGTGATGACGTCCAGTGTTGTTTAGGAGACCAGAAGACGCCTATGAGCCCGGAAGTCCCTCTAGTGGCTGGCTGGTTTGATAAAAACTGCAATAATTGCATGCTCAGGGTTAAGGGTAATGGGAGTTTGCACCCAGACCAATTCAATGAGCTGAAGTGGTCTGGGTGCCTATAGTGTCCCACGTCAAAAAAGCAAGGATTCATCACATAAATGGTTCTTCAGCGGCTGAAATTTCTTAGGGTTTCACTGTGGAAGTGGATGTCCATACTGCACACCTGGAGTTAACATTGTTGGCAAATAACTGATGCACAGTAGCCATTAAATTGTAAACAAAGTTTTTTATGATAACAGCATCATTATGATGTCTGTTTCTGCATGGCAATTTATATTTGTGCTTGCTGTGTACTACATTGATCTAGATCAGGGGTGCCAAAAAGGTAGATCAAGAGATTTTAAAATTACAACTTCCATGATGCTATGCCATTCTAAAGGCATGCAAAGTGTCATGGGAGTTATAGTTCTACCTTTTGGGCACCCCTAATCTAGATTGTAAATTCTCATGGGAATAGGGCCCTCAACTCCCCCTGTATCTGGTTGACAAACTTTGTATTGTCTCAAATGCTTTTTTTTTTTTTTTACCAATTGTATCCAAATACAGCGCTGTGGTATGCGTTGGCGCTTTTAGCATTATAGTATTAATACAATTAGAGGTAGAATGTTAGGTCTATAGTCTAGTTCTGTGTAAGTCTGTCTTTGTCAAGTAACAGCAACATCTTGTGGTCTAGTTTGGTAATGCATACACTGGATTCATGTGTTTTTTTTCCCCACACATCAGACTTGAAAAGAAAGAAAACTAGCCATTCATTTTCAGAAATGCCTACAAAAGTAAAATATGAAAATTGGCTGTTTAAAGAAAAACAAACAATTTAATAAGAGCCTGACAGCTTGCCTAGGTCTCACTATTTTCCTGCCCCCGTGTTAAGCCCAGCCATGCAGGGCCACTGTCATTGGATGACAGTAGTCCAAGAGGAGGACTAAGCTCAGTGGAGCTAACAATCTCCTTCCAGAACTTCTGGATCTATGGGAGACAGGGCAGGTACCCAGTGGACTTTAGGAGAGTTGTCAAGCCATTCTTAAATTGACTACTTCCCATGGAAGGATGCCAGGGCAGTTGTGGTTATGGTGCGGGTAGTGTTCTTTTAATAAATATATCAAACTATTTTCAACATGATCACTCTACTAAATAGCCAAGTTGAGAATTAAAGCATTAACTGCAACATTTCCTCCGCACTTGGGAGAGAATAAAATCCAACTGGTCATTTTGAAAGCACAGAAAGGAATTTCAGACTTCTTGTGCATGTACATGCTCACTTCATTTCAAGCATTTTAATTAATTGATTGCAGATCAAGTTTATCCAAAATTGCTTGATACCACATACATTGGCAACAAACTAGGAAAGTTTGGTTTTACCTACCAAATGATATTTTAAGATTTGAGAAGAAAACCGCTAATGTTAGGGCTAATGCTAGAAAGCTTTTTGTTCCCCCAGTTTTTCTGTTTTGGTCACCCCTCTACACACAGATGCCAGTAAACATAAGGGGAAGACCTGTTCGATTCTATTCTTATTCCCCTTACCTAATAATGGAACGAGTGCATCCCAGGGGACCATCATTTGTTTTATTACACAAATTTTTTTATTTTTTTGAGGAACCAGGTAATTCCAAACATAACAAAGACCTTCAGTGTGACTACAAGAATTTGTTTCTAATTGGCCTTAAGAAAATAGATCAATTGAAACCAGTTGTCCCCTCCCACCCCCAACAAGATATATACATGATGGCAGAAGACCCCAAAAACTTGTCCACAAACTTTTAATAAATTAAAAACTACAGTGTTACCGGTGTGAAGCTGCAATGAGAAAAGACACATGCTAAGGCTACTGCAAGTCCTGGGAAGCTGATCTGCTGATTTTGTGCCTCTTGTTCAAGCTCACATGGACCAAATCAGTGTGTGTTCTGTTTTGGATAGTACATTTAGTGAACAACCTCTGACATTCGATTCCAGAAGTGTTTACGAAATGTTGGTGTATGATACACAAGGTGATATATTGGACTTTAGATTGGAAAAGATGTTGATCCGTTTTGGAAATTTTGGATTAAGAACATACTGAAAACACAACAATCTAACAGTGCAAATTACTCTTTATTTAGGCAAATCAAGAATATATTCAAACATTTTTCAAAAGGCACATTAAAAATATAAATTTAGTTTTAAAATATTATATGTAAAGTCTGCAGATTTATTTTAGTCTATATTTGACCCAAAATATTTTTCTTTCCAAAGTTTCAATAGTACAGTACAAAGTATTAAAATGACAAATGTAACCAAAATACAAGAAGAATCAGAAAAAACAAACATTCCACAGGACCAATCCAGATCTTTGCTAGAATTAATCTTTTTACATACAACAAAGTGAAAATGTGAACTTTTAATTGCATAAATCAGTGGTTCCACACTCAGTGCTCAAAGCTCACTAACAGTTCACAGGTTCTGTCAGTATCTGGTAGAAACAGAACTGGTAAAAGACTAATTCTTTGTCTATTGGCGTCCCTTGAGCAATGGGTTGGATACCAATGTTATACATTATCTTGTTAGACATACGCGGGGATGACCTCTATAGCACATTGAAGTGCCAATTTTTGGGTCATTCAAGATTGTTTGGTTTTAGCTATAAGGCTCTTTGAAAGACAGAAACCCCCCCCCCCACACAAAATGTGCGATTTTATTGCATGAACGTCTTGAAAGTTTTTAATATTTTTAGCAAATGTGAAACCTCATGGAACATAAGGTTTTAAAATCCATAGCAGTTTTCAACCAAGCTCTAAGGTTCGACAGTCCGGGTTTTATCTCTATCTCCATTCTAACATAACTGGGCTAACAAAATCCTACACAGTCTGGTTTGTGAAGGAATGCTAGAGTTTCATAAAACATGTAATGATATTACCCATATCCAGCATGGCTTACAATATAGGCCTTAATTTAATACTTTTGGATAAACAAGATTTTACTTTGTTAATTATATTACTTATAATAAGGTGTCCACCCACCTCCTCCCCAATTTCTATATTTTGAAGAAAACAAAAATACATTTTATATGTATAGCCAAAAACATTAAACCATTTGAAGAGCTTATCCATAAACATTAAAAATGCAGCCATAATCTGTCAGTGCAAGGGGATTAACAATTTACTTGACCTGTGATACTCCATTGGGGTGTAGAATATAAAGACGAAAGGGGAATGGGGTGATCAGTGCATTAGAAATGCTTTTTGATTTCTCCAAGTTCCACATCTGATTTTGTAACAAAGTGACTGCATCAAAGCAGAAAGAGGTCAAAGCAGTCTATAACTATAACAGACAGCGTGGATTCCCTTCACTGTGAACTACATTACCCATGATGCTTAAATAACCGAAGCGCCAAGGTTGGCCGGTACTAATCTATACTGTACCCATATAATTGTGACAAGATACCCAACATGATATATAATGTAACTGTTTCCCACTTTAACTAATAGACAACAAACTGTTCTCAATATTACATGTTGCAACAGGCCAGAAAGACAATTAAGAGTTTTAAGTCTTCCTTAAAATTAGCAAAAAGAAAACGACATAAAATTGTATACTGTAGCATCAGCAATTATAAAGAATACAGATTGCTTGTCACATTGTTACAGGTTAACAAATCAACTGTATTACTAATGAGGCAATCTTTAAGAATTACATGTTAAAAAATTCAGTTTATAAAACCAACTGTATCAGGTGGGGGTTTAGAAAAAAACAAGAGAAATAATAGATGTATTCAAGAAATACGTCAAACGTTTTGACCCATATATTTGTGCCTTTGGTTATACGAAATGTGCATTATTTTGTTGTTTTTTTTTGTTAATTTACTAAATACAGAGGTGACAATTTTTGAACCAGAAAAATCTCAGCTTAAATCATTTCCAAAAAACACGGTGAATATGTGTGCAACATTATTTGCAGTTTAAGAGAATGTGTAGCTACTTTACCGTTCCAGGGATTGGCTGGGTCAGCAAGACATGTCCTGGATGATGTAGTGGGCAATGGACGAATATCAGAACTAAGAGATTTGTTGTTAATTTAGAGAATTTCCTACTTATTTTAGATACACATGGTTATTTGCTAAACTCTGAGTGGCTTAAATTAGGCAAAGATAGCTTAGCGGTGACTATAGCAGTGTTTGAGAAGTTCTCTAAATCAGCAAACTCTACCTATATTTGCAGCTCAGATTTTTGATTCTCAATAGGTTTACATGGATAAACCCGACAGTGTTGACAAGATAACAAATCTGATAGTTTTATTGGCTGCAGGGGGATGTGATGCGAACGATTTTACAAAATATACTTTCTCCACCAAGAAAGTAAGTTACTGCAGACACAGCAGCCTCAGATCTGTATATTTTATGATGTCATCTCATATGGAGAATCAACACTCATTTTTATTAAGAATGCTACAAAATAGGAGTTCTTTTTCAGGTGGGGATGTTTTTGAAGTAAAAAAACCCAAATCCATCAAGAAGTGTAATTTCCTTAATATAACAATTAGAATGATTTTGTTTCACAGCACTTAACATAACAGTCATTTCTTTTACATATGTTATTAATACACAATATTAACATATTATTGCTCAAAACTGATATTTGTAATTTCAAAAATAAAAAAGAAGGAATGCTATATATGTAGAGAAGGATGCACACTAACATCGGAATGTAAGACTGGCTCATTCACCTTTACATACATTGTATATAGACAAACACCCCCAAAAAATAAAACAGTATATTTGCTGATATAAAGATAGCAGGAAGAAAAAAAAAACAGTTAATTGCAATGCATACACTAAAGTTTGTGTTTATCCATTTTGGTGCCAGATTTGAAGACAAACGCTGGATGCGGAGGGAATTGGTAAATCTAAACTTCATACCGTTACTTCATCCTAAATGATTGCTTCGTGCTCTTCTCTGTCACAAACAAGAAAAATAAAAAAAACATAGAAATAAAGTTTCATACCTTGGAACTGCTTAATTGTAAACACTAATGGGTTTATTGCACTAGAGTGGGGATTGTGGGGAAAGGACAAGGCCAAGATGAATGGGAGACTTTAATTTATCTTGTTGTAATATGTGAAATTGCTTGGTTAATTCTCAGAATTGCTGAAAAGCCCTGCATTGTATTTAAATAGTTGATTGTGGACAATTCAAAAGAAGAAGTGCCATGACCTCCAAATTCCTCTGCTACTGCTCGTCTCATCTCCCAATTTGAACCTTTAGATTGTAAGCTCACAGACTCTCTAGCAAAGTACTCTCTATAAAAGATGTTCACGGGCTAGATCTCTGCTCACGGGTAGGGCCCTATTTACCTTTAGTATTGGTCAGTTTATAGTGTACCGTCTTTTTCCCATTCCAGTTTAGGAAACAATTAGCATTCAGCAATGATTGCAGTAGAAATTATATTCCATTTTTGGCCACAAGCATAAACAACTGTCTGCCTGTTGGAGTGCATTGTAGGAAGGAAGGACTGTTAGTCAAACATGATTTAATGTGATATCTCCAGGCACTGGCATTGTATAAGATAAAAGGGAAAAAAACAAAAACAGGACATATCCAGAATGGAAGACATGGTATTCATTTCTAGGCACAAAATCAACCAGTACCCCAGTAAAAGGGCTTTTCCTATATGGGAAGAGCGAGTCTTTTAGTAGAAAGGCAACCTGCATGGCTTCCTCGGTGCAGCAGAGTAGGGAGGATTTAATCCAATCATAACGAGTGTCTGATCAGGAGTCTGTGCGAAGGGGCAGGGAATTTTAAGAGGACAGTCACACACCAGTCTCAGTGTGGAGGCTGGGCTGCATATGCAGATTTTTACTGCTTCAAAGGAATAAAGGTAGGATTTGGGAACATGAGGAAGATTTATTGCCTGTGAATGGAGAAATGATTAAAGGGACACTATAGTCATCAAAACAACTTTAGCTTAATGAAGCAGTTTTGGTGTATAGATCATGCCCCTGAAGTCTCACCGCTCAATTCTCCACCATTTAGGAGTTAAAATCACTTTTGCTTCTGTTTATGCAGGCATAGCCACACCTCCACTTGTGACTCACATAGCCTGCATGAAAATAAATGGTTTCACTTTCAATCAGATGTAGCTTACTTTAAAAGTTTTTATTTCCTGTTCTGTAAATTGAACTTTAATTACATACAAGAGGCTCCTGCAGGGTCTAGAAATCTATTAACAGAGCAGGAGATAATACATTCTAAATTAAACAGTATTTTCAATAGAGGAAGTATACACATTAGATGACTCTTTGCAAGAAATGTTTGAAGGCTGTGTAAGTCACATGCAGGGAGGTGTGACTAGGGCTGCATAAACAAAGTGATTTAACACCAAAATGGCAGAGAAGTGAGCAGTGAGAACGTAGCGGCATGATTTACACACCAAAACTGCTTCATTAAGCTAAAGTTGTTTTGGGGACTATTTAAGTTGAAAGGGGAGCAAGGGCTGATTATGGAAGGCAAAAGGGTTGGAGATCTGGATGTGTGTGACAGTTTGGGCACATGCATGTGTCTGACAGTATGTAGCTGTCTGACTTTGTATCCGTGTGTGTCTCTAACATTGTGCATTTGTATATGTGTCTGACAGTGTGTAGCTGTCTGACTGTGTATTAATGTTGGACAATAATATCCATTATAAAAAAAAAGATTAAATGATAGAAGATGCACTTCAACAACTGCTGGATGTAGCCTTAACTTTGCTAACCTTGCCTTAGAAACAACCCTTTAATTTAGAGGTGCAACAAGTTAATCCAGAGCTTTTGGAGTTGAGTCCTCTAGATTTTTTTATGTATTTTTTTTTTTTCCTCCTACCAACCGACTCCTGATCCATATAGAAATTAAATGCCGATTATGGGGAGGTCTCTGACTGATGTGTGAAAAAAATGGTTATTTACATTATTTTTTCTTTTTACTGAAACTAGCAAAGATTAGAACAATGACTGACACGAATTAAAGTTGGGGAATTCAAATACAGGATAGAAACATAGAATGTGACGGCAGATAAGAACCATTCGGCCCATCTAGTCTGCCCAATTTTCTAAATACCTTTCATTAGTCCCTAGTCTTATCTTATAGTTAGGATAGCCTTATGCCTATCCCACGCATGCTTAAACTCCTTTACTGTGATAGAGTTAAATACAAAATTGTATTGATTTCTACATTTTATTTCCAATAAATTTCAGACTATTAGTGAGAAGATAAGTAGCCATAATATTATATACATATATACACACACACACACAAACAAAACTGTTAAGTGGATGTTTCTCTTTAAGGGATTTTTTTTTATGATCATAAAAATCCAGATTGTGCTTTATGTCTAAATTACTTACAAAACATAAAATACACACATGTGAAACGTAAAAATAGGATGACTTACATGGTCCTGTAGCGAACTCCCCTTCTCGAGTTATAGAATCTACACCCAAAGTAGGCCAGGGCAAGAATTCCAATGGTCAGTACAATGCCTCCTACGAAACTGCCCAAGTCAAATCCAGAGACCTTTATTAATGAAGACGATGCTGTAGAATCTGGATCAAAAGAAACTGGAATCAGATTTTGCTCTAGTGCATATTGGAACAATTAATAGATTTGGCTGTATCTCTCAAGGAAATTTGGAGCAAAATGCCATGTGTAGAATAATTTTACTGATATAAGCCACTATTTTGCACTTTTTCGTTACTTTTTAGTAGCAGCAAAGAAAATTCAGCTTTCCCATGGAATATTTTTTTCCCTTATCTGTTTATTTCCAATTATCTCCAAAGCTTCCCCACTTTATTGATTCTCTCCCTTTGGGTGTGATTTTATTTTACTATTGTGTACTCTGTGCAAATTGTACCTTTATTGACTTCCCTGCCCGGCAGCCACCCAACTTTCCCCTGCTTGTGAGAGGGTATGATTTTCATGTTTTTACATACGTGGCTGTATGTATGCAAGAATGCAACAAGGAAATGAATGTCATGTGTGCCCCTCCCCTCCACCCCCCTTTATTTTTGCAATGGCAGATTGCATGGTAATATAACATTGTTGGGCTTGTGCAAAAGCCATATCATAGTACATATGTCAGCAATGTATTACAGAAAGAAAAATAAAGTCTAGAGTTATTTTGTTAAGGATCTCTTCATGTTGTGGTGATCGACTTGGTCGCAATCCACCAGAGTTTTGTTTTTTTAAAGTTAAAGAAGAACAATAACAGAAAACAAATAACCTTAGAAAGTAATGTACTTAATATACTATGTAGGAGCGGGGCTGTGTTTGTAGCAGTGTTATTCAATGATTTTGGTAGTGTATTGTTGTCGTTGGATGTGATATGCACGTAAGATGTGATCAGCATCCGTTTGCATTGAGTGGGTCAAGAACCTGTATAACAATGAAAGTAGTAACCATATATTCGGCGTTACATGTCATAATGCCGTTTTATACTGAATGTCATGAGAATTTAACTACTTTACTACGTTTAATAAATTTGCTCTAGATATGTATTTCTAATAGTAGTATGCTCTTTATATCCATGTTGCTTTGATTGTTCTGCAACCCATGACTCTACATATGTTGGTCTTTCCCTTTTCCCTTTTCCCTCCTCTCCCTCCCTTCAGACTTTTTCAAAGTCAATAACTATTTACAATTACTGGTCCACTGAACATCCCGCACCCCAAGAACAGTAAATGGAGTTATGGATGAGTAGCACTGGGCAGCACACCCAATGGGTCCCATCCTGCCACCACCTCGGTTGAGAAACATACCGTGTACTCCAGTTGCTCTAATTCTAGATTGGAAGGAGGTGTCCAGCGTAGAAATATACCATTTCCAAGGGAGGAAATTTTTTTATTTTTTTTTAACCAGAAGTTCCTTGTTGGCTAGGGTATAAAGCCAGTCCATTTGAAAAAGGAATTTGAGTTTGGTTAAGAATAAAGTAAGCAATGATCATAGAGAAGCATCTATTAGGCACGGAGTCACCATGAACGGGTCCCAATAATAGGAAACTGGGATTTAATGGTAATGGCATCATATTGTTGTTTGTTAAGCATTGCGCAACCTCTCTCCAGAAGGTCTGAATCATGGGACACTCCCACAGACAGTGATACATATCCGCTTTGGTTTGGGTGCATTTAAAGCAGGTAGAGGAGTCCTTCCTTGCCATGAGATGTAGTCTATGCGGGGTAAAATATGCGGAATGTGTGGTTTTCAGGAACATGTCTCAATAAGAATGGGGAGCAGTTGACTTTGAGTGTAGTGTGAGTTTAGGATGTTCTCATGTGTGATATCAGGGAAGTAATGTTCCAATTCCCCAGACCCATTTGTAGTGTGTTCCAGTCAGGTGTGTAGGTGTGTATCGTAAAAGGGCATATAGGGTAGAGATGGAGTAAAGTGCTGGATTTGTGGTGCATAAAAGATGATCCAGAGAATTACTCCAATCGGAGACCATGAGGCGTTGACTTATCGTGTAAGAATGTCGTACTTGAAAGTATGCAAAGGAAGTGTGTGTTTTTGTATTTGGATATGCCTCTCTGATGGGTAGACTTCTCAGAGGTTTGGGTGACTAACGTCTCTTCAAACAAACTATGCTTCTGCAAACAATACTATGTTCTACAGCAAGGTTTGGCAAATACATGAGGGCTGAATTTAAAGGACCACTCTAGGCACCCAGACCACTTCAGCTTAATGAGGTGGTCTGGGTGCCAGGTCCCTCTAGGACTAACCCTTTTTTTTTTTTTTTTTTTTAGAGAAACTGCTATGTTTATAAATGGGTTAATCCAGCCTCTAAATCCTCTAGTGACTGTCTCATTGACAGCCGCTAGAGGCGTTTGCGTGCTTCTCACTGTGAAAATCACAGTGAGAAGACGCCAGCGTCCATAGGAAAGCGTTGTAAATGCTTTCCTATGAGACTGGCTGAATGCGCGCGCAGCTCCTGCCGCGCATTCGCATTCAGCTGAAGAGGAGGAGGAGAGCTCCCCACCCGGCGCTGGAGAAAGAGGTAAGTTTAACCCCTTCCTCTCTATCCAGCCGGGTGGAAGGGGGACCCTGAGGGTGGGGGCTCCCTCAGGGCACTATAGTGCCAGGAAAACGAGTATGTTTTCCTGGCACTATAGTGGTCCTTTAAGGATACCAAATATGAGAGCTATCTGCTAAATTACTCCCTAATTTGGTATCCTTAAATACGGCAATCCCACATAAGGGTACCAATTTAGGACATTATATAGAACATTTGAAAGATCAAAATTTATTAAAAAAATGTGGTTTTACTTGGGATTTTAGCCAAGATTAAACCCACTCATACCCCTTTTTCCCCCACTTATTAAAAGGAACATTCTAAGGACCATAACTACTAAAATGCTCTACAGTGGTTATGGTGCCTGGAGTGCCCTGGTAACTCCCATTGTAAGCAATCAAACCGGTTTAGTATGTTTTCACTTCTTACTTGGTGGCTACCAGGCACCGCTCCACTTCTCCACTACCTCAGCCACAGAACCAGAAGAATACTATTAGCCTTCCTCAGCCAAGCCATGCAGGGCAGGCTCATAAGCAGACCGTGTCAGCTGATTGTTCTTATCCAATGAGCTAAACCCTGCGCCACCAAGCTGAGCTTAATCTCTTGCAGAGGTGTGGAGACAGGGTCTGAAGTTTGGCAGAACCAAGGTATGGAGTCAAAACAATCTAAAACAGCTTGACTACTTACAATCAGGGTGTGTCTAAACACTCTTAAAACTATAACCACTACAAAACACAGTAGTGGTTATGGTGGCTGGAGGTTTTCTATTTACTTCCTTTTTTTTTTTTTAAAGAAAAGTAAATATTCTTGGTCAAGATTATGTTTTCCCCTTTACTATTCCCCCCTCAACCCATTATTTTGAATACATATATTTTAAAAATACTTTAAGGAATTTAACTGATTACATTTTCTTTATATTTAATAAGTCATCTTCAATGTGGTTAAAGCACAACATACAGACTGCAGCCAACACTACAGGGAAACTCATTCTTTTGTCCATGGCAATGACCGTATAACACATATGGGCATAGCTTTCTTAACAGGCATTTTAAAAATGTTATAAATTTGCCCTAAATACATACTTGCTGTTATAGCAGCAGATGTGGCTTTTGCAGAAGTCGGCTTAATGGGAGCATTGGTTGTTGCCACAGGGGTTGCCTTTTTCGTAGTTACACCTATATCAAGAAAATAAGTTATTTCACTTTTCTTATATTTCAAATACAAAAAAAATATTGCTTTGTAAGGGGCAAAATCATTTATAACATATTTTGATACATGTAAAAGTCTGTTACCAAGTTAATCCCTTAAAGTATGGGTCCTCAATCTCCTTCCCCCACAGATGCTGCTTAACTACAACTCCCATGATTATTTGAATTACATAGATAGCCGGAGAATCATGAGAGTTGTAGTTCAGCAACATCTCGGGGGCTTGAGTTTGAGGACCCATGCCTTAAAGGGATTAAACTCGTTTTCCTGGCACTATAGGGTCATTAGGTCAGCCCCATCCTAAGGGCCCCCCTCCGGCTGGGCTGAAGGTGTTAAAACCCCTTCAGCCACTTACCTTTCTCCAGCACTGGGCTCCGTCGTGCTGGGGAACGCTCCTCCCTCTGTCGACATCATCCCAGTGGCGGATCCTGGGGGGGGAGCAACGGGGCAATTGCCCCCCCCCCCAAGAAATCCGCTGGTCTCCCTCTCCCCTGCCAGGACATGCAGGTGCTAGCCCTGCAATGTGCCTGCCGGGGGGGGGGAGATCAGAGATCTCCCTCCCCGGTCCGCAGGCACTGTGCTGGCGGCCGGCGGGGAGGAGAGGAGAGAGAGGACCCGGAGCTCAGGCTGCAGCTCCTCCAGGTCCTCCTCTCGTGAGATTTGGAGCGTTGCCGCGGTTACCACGGCAACGCTCCAAATCTCGCGAGAGTGAACTCTAGCCCTGGAGCGCGGGCTAGAGTTCACTCTCCCCACTGGGACCACCAGGGAATCCCACTGGACCACCAGGGATCGAAATATGTCCCCCCTCCTCCCCAGTAAAGGTAAGAAGGGAGGGGGGACATAGGATATTTATTTTAATTAAATAAAAAAAATATATATTATAAAAAAAAAAAGCCACACACACATACATTGCCCCCAATACTGCCCCCCCATTCACACAAACTGCCCCTATACACACAAACTGCCCCCCATTCACACAAACTGCCCCCCATACACACAAACTGCCCCACACACAAACTGCCCCCCTTACACACAAACTGCCCCAATACACACAAACTGCCCCCACACACTGCCCCCATACACACAAACTGCCCCCCATACACACAAACAGCCCCATACACACAAAACCGCCCCATACACACACTGCCCCCATACACACACACTGCCCCCATACACACACACATACTGCCCCCATACACACATACTGCCCCATACACATACCCCCCCATACACACATACTGCCCCCCATACACACATACATACACACATACTGCCCCCATACACACATACTGCCCCCATACACACACACTGCCCCATACACACACACTGCCCCCCATACACACACACACTGCAACTGTTACACACACATACTGTCCCACACATACACTGCATCCCTGACATACACTGCCGCCCTCACACACACACTGCACCCCCTACACATTGCACCACTCACACACACCACTGCTCCTATGCCCTACTACAGCCCCATTTCCCAGCAGATCTCAGGTAAGTTGTCAAACTGTTCTTAAACGGTTTGACTACTTACTCTGGGAGGGGGTCCTGGCACTATTGACACCATAACCACTACACTGAGCTGTAGTGGTTATTGTGTCTGGATTATTTCTTTAAATAATATACAAGTGCCCCTCCCGAGATCAGGCTCTGGATCCGCCACTGCATCATCCCCGAATGCGCATCCACAAGCGCATTCAAACAGCCCATAGGAAAGCATTACTCAATGCTTTTCTATGGACGTCCAGCGTCTTCTCACTGTGATATTCACAGTGAGAATCGCGGAAGCGCCTGTCAGTGAGACAGCCACTAGAGTCTGGATTAACCCTCAGCGTGAACATAACAGATTCTCTAAAAGAAAATGCTATGTTTTCAGCTGCAGGGTTAAAACTAGAGGGACCTGGCACCCAGACCACTTCATTGAGCTGAAGTGGTCTGAGTGCCTATAAATGGTCTTTTAAGGAACAATGATATCTCATAGAATCAACACAAACTGATCCTGAAAGACCCAAGTGCCAGCATTGGATGTCCTGCTAATTCACATTTGCAGGTGTATATAAACCATTTTGATAAAGAGTCTTTAACCATTTAACGCTATTAGGGTGTGCAATGCTGTCCTGCTAAAGGAGGGCTTTAACGCCTTTAGGGTGGCATAGCACACCCTAATGATCCTACCTCGCCTAACCTTCTGTGGCGATCCTTATCAGGGGGAGGCAGTTCGCTTGCAGCAAATCCTACCCATCCGCATCTGATCTCGATAATACTGCAATCACATAACCGAATCAGCCATTTACATCACTGACTGTGTGGGTTGTCAGGCAGATCCACTAACAGGGTCTGGGACTAAGAAGCTACTGAACAAACAAATATGGCAAATTTCAATGTAAAAACTGAAATTGGCAAGCTCTATAATTAACCCTGTAACAGTTTAAAACTCAATAAAACCTGTACATGGGGGAGTTCTGTTTTTACCCATGAGACAATACTGAACACAAATGTATTTATTTTATTGCAGTAAAAACAAACAGTTTAGGACATTCCAAGTTAAAAAGCCATGCAGAACTTGAAAAATAACATTTCCTAATTTCTTTAACTTTTTTTGCTACATGTTATTTATTTTCAGTTGCGTTGCATATATAAATATTTGATGAGAATGGAAAGTTTCTCCAGAACAAAATTATATTGCCATTTAAAAAATAAATTGCTTTTGTTTCTGTTTATGCTGTCCTAGCCACACCTCCCCTGGTTGTGACTCACAGAGACTTTGTGAAACAAATTGTTTAATTTTCACTCAGATCTTACAGTACAGTGTGTTTACTTTTGAAATTATCTCCTGCTCTGTTGATTTAATTTTAAATCAGACACAAGAGGCTGAATAATTTGTATTTGCAAATACTACTTGTATTATATTGAGGCTTTGATAAGGTCTCTACATGAAAGTTTATTGTAAAATAGAATTAAAAAGAAATTAGAGTTGTGAAATAAAATCTCACTAGACTGCCCTTACCTTTGAAAATGAAAGTGTTGATCCTTAACGAAGCATGTATAAAACGAAAGTATTAGAAATTCCCCCCAAAAAACACTTTAAAACATTAGTCATTACCAAACGATGATTATGTAATTGCATACAAGTACATCTCTCTCTATATATCTCTATATGTAAGGGGCAGTAATTGATATATGTAATCCTACTACCAATGTGAAATGCCCAACACTTATTGCAATATGATACAATGTGAAATGCGGATTATGGAAATATAATGCCACCAATGTTTTCTGGAGACCTAATAAACCACAATAGAGTATATGAATGTATCCAGAGCCCGGAGATTTTATATATCATTTTTTATTTTGCAGCTTCCCTTATTGATGGCGTCCCCCTCTAGCAATTCACTGATGTGTGTGTGTGTGTGTGTGTGTGTGTGTGTGTGTGTGTGTATATATATAGGTGTATACACACACTAGAGAATTGCTAGAGGGGGACGCCATCAATAAGGGAAGCTGCAAAATATAAAATAATATGATATATAAAATCTCCGGGCTCTGGATACATTCATATACTCTATTGTGGTTTATTAGGTCTCCAGAAAACATTGGTGGTATTATATTTCCATAATCCGCATTTCACATTATGTATCATATTGCAAAAAGTATTGGGCATTTCATATGGGTAGTAGGATTACATATATCAATTACTGCCCCTTACATTCCAGTGCACTCTGTATAAGTTAAAACTGCCATTGCTCTGACACTGGCATGGTAATTTACAAAAGTCACAACTGCAGGTTATTCAAAGAGAATTTCAGAATTCAGGTCAAAATAATCAAACTGAAAACAGAATTGACTTGGAGATTTTTTTCCAATTCAGTTATTTTAGCCTAACTTTTTTTTTACAGATGTGGCCACTATTGCTGACAATTAATCAAGGGCTAGTTAACCTCGTAATTACTATGGTAGCAGTAAGGGTGTACTTTGTTTTTCACACATGGCTTCTCCATTTTGGCTTTATTTTTGTTATATAAAATCAAGACGCGGTGTAATATGTCATGTGTTGTTGTTCATCTGAGGTTGTAAAGGGTTTTAAAACCATTGATTAAGTTGCCTTAATTCCAGTGCAGAGGTCTCTCCTCCTCCTGTGATGTCAGGGCAGTTGTGGGACCCAATGTGAATGTGTGACACTTGCCACGTGATTTAGAGCTTCCCTATAGGAAAGCATTGAATCAATTAGATTTTTTTAAATTTTAGCTGGTTGCCTTGGTTTTCCACCTGAATTTACTTTGGCTCACTCACTAGTTTATAACCCTGTAAGATAAGATGCTCCTGATTGCTGGTGCTTGAAACTGCAGTGAGTTACTCTAAGCGGTGCAATTTTAGAAACTGGAAAGGTATTTATTATTATAATGTAAAATTGAAATCTATATAAATTACTCAATGTATATTCTGTCTGTACTCGTAGGACTTGTGGTTAGAAAATAGTAAAAAAAAGATTTTAATTGTGCAGAGTCAATGTTTCAGACCCACTCGCGCCCACTTCTTCCCAGCATTTAATCTGTATCTAAGTTCCATGGTGGGGCACCGGGGCATTGAAATTAATCTGATATAACTATCTATCGGCATCTTGTTTACTGGACTAATACGGCTAATCCAATCTAATATATATAAAGCATTAAAAATATTGTTGTCGTTTAACGTTTTATTTTTTTTGTTGGGGACTCAAATTACGTATACTGTAAATTCAATTGTATTTACATTACTTTAGTGGCATATTATGCAATTCAAATCCAATCATTACACTCATTCCAGGATCAAATGAATTTACACTGCAAATTAGCAAATAGGATGGACTCAAAGCATTAATCACTTCCACTATAAGAACGTAAAGGACAGTTCACGGTTGCTCCACGGAGATACCGGACAAGGAAGTGTCCAACTTCTCAAAACACCAGAACCTCCCCATGCCAGATAAGATTGTGTGCATGGGCTCAGAGTCGACAAAACAGTCTAATAACCGGTTTCTGTCACAACCACCAAACTGGAAACAGAATTGACTTGAGGAATGTTTGTAATTAGGCTATCTAGGCCTACAGGTTTAAATTCACTTTCAATTACTTGTAATTCACACTCTAAACACAGAAGGAACACAAATCCAAGTCAAGAGGAGAGGATCAGAATTATGCGGTCATATGCAGTCCTACCAAATAATCACAGTGAACAAAGTATAATGATAGTTGCTTACGTGTAATACAAGCTACTAACAAAGTCTATCCAGAAAGCCACTTACTAATTGTGGAATGGCTCAAAGCTTAGCATGCATAAAGATGTTTCTAACCTAGATTATAGAGCAGTGATCCTTGTAAGGAATAGAATCTTGCACCTTAAGTCTAATAAATTCAATTTTTTTTTTCCTATGACACTCTGACAGTGTATGTTGTCTGATCCAATAACGGTTTTATCAGTAACGTTTAATGTCCTGCTCTCATTTGAGTTCTGCAAAAGTACTTGCAGCAAACACAACCAATAACGCTCAGTCTTCTGACCTCTAAGAAAGCTTCGGAGCCTTTCAAATGTTGTTATGCATTCGGGAATTGATGCAGTCATATCAACTAACTTAGATAACATATATGAAGAGCATTCAGGCATTACTTAAGTTTAACAACAGTACAAAACAGAATACTTTCTGCGTCATTCAGTATGCTGGATACAAACAAATCAGCGTCTACTACCTTAGACGTCTACTACCCTATCAGAAGCAAAACCCGATTTTGGACACAGAGGTCAGATTTAATTTTTGGTTGGCAGACACACACCTACATGCTCACAAAGCCATACAAGAGAAATACAGAAGAGTGCATGCGGAGATTACCTATAGTAGAAACTGCCGGTCCTTTTGTAGTATTGCCAGGTACCGATGTATTAGAAATGGTCGCAGGTGGTGAAGATGGACTCAAAGTTTGGTTTGTTTTAGTCTCAGGAGTTGTTGCCTTAATAGTGGTGCTATTAGCTGGAGAAGTAGCAGGCGGGTCCACAGTGGTTGCTAAATAATAAAGGCAGAAAAATAGTAAAGTAAATGTTGCAAGGCTTTTAAAGGCCAATAATCATAAATCTAATTGTATTTTCATTATGATACATAGAGAAGGACATCTTATCCCTGTCTACATCTCTTTCTAAAATACTTCATTCTCGCTGTTTACTGTAAACCTTTACTTTTATTTGTATAATGCATAGATGCAGGTCCAAGAGAGCTTTTCAGACAGACCGTGGAACTAAAAAAGTTACATTACTGCTCTCCATGTTTTGCATGGGTTATGTACACACTGCACATACAACTGGGAGCTTAGCATAACGGTTCAATAAATTGTGAACCATTAGCTTCTATTATTTTTACTGAGCAATTCTGCTCATAAAAAGTGATGAGAGAAACTGCTCTATGGACAGAAGTCCAGGCTACTTATTAGAAGTATAATTCTGGTGTGGGAAACGTGAGACTATATTATACAGGTGTTTTTTTGTTTGTTTTTTAATATTCATTCAAGAGAAAACCGCAAAACAAAATATTTTTAAAATACAGAGCAAACTGAACCAGAAAAATCTGTTAATATCCTAAAGATTAAAACAGCAACGCTATATAGATAGAGTGCTACCAAATGACCTGGCATTCTGTACTTAATTCGATCTGCAAACTTGAGCATGTTGTGGAACATTTAATAAAATCTACAACTAGTAAAACGGTTTGAAACAGATAAAGGAAGTGGCATTTTGCATACACACACACACACCACATAACAGGAAATACATAGTCTGCCTGACACTGTGCGGTAGAGGTTAAGTTTCTTGATAAACAAACATTCTTAATTTCTTAAATTTGTAAAACACAGGCTAATTCTTGAAACCTGTATCTTGTATAATGTGTCCCTCCAAGCACCATAACTAACGATGCCAACACCATTCCACTTTTTTTCCATGATAAATGTTCAATTTTAAAAACTTGCCTCTAACTCAGCTCATTATCAGGAGCCCCTAGTGTGTCTATGATTAACAACTACTAAATTAACAACTCCTCCAGCAGCTTGTCACATTTACATACTTATTCACGAGCTGTCCTCCATTTTTGTGTACTTTTTAAAACTGCACAATTTTCCCAATTGAGTAGTACTGAAAATCACAGTTTATACAGTACGATCTAATAACCAACTAGAAGTGTTTTAATTGGTCTTTTTTTTTTTTAAACATACTTTGCCTTGCAAGAATATTGTATGTGCGCATGCGCACATACATATTTTCCCTGTTAGATGCCTGAACACATGCATATGCACCAAGGCATTATGGGACATTAAAATTGCCATAACATGGACGTGTAGTGGAGGCAATTAGATTTTATTTATGCAAATTAATGCAGAGTTACTCACTCTGGTAAATAATGCAATAGTATTTACTGGGGTTAAACAACGAAAGGTCATTTATCTGGAAGTGCAAGCACGCTTTATAGTGTGGTGTGAAAAATCTACAGCATCAGATGGACACACACACACACAAAAAAAAAAGCCTGGCACAAAGCATTTGTCTCACTGCTGATCCTTAGACACGCCGCTATGGTCTTAATGAGACTAGGCTATGTGTTCTCCACCAGAGACAAATTCAGGGTCCCTTGCAGTCCGCACCCAGGATCCTGGCACGCTGCACCAGGAGGAAATGTTATAACATCACATCCTTCCATCACCCTGAGTCCAGATGCCTTATGGGAAATAAAGAGGTCTCTAAAGCTGTCACTGCTGCTGAGAATGTAGAGACAAGCCACTTCCTACTAGGTACCAAGGACAGTAACGGCAGATCTTTTCACCTCCTACACTTAACTGGCAGGGGAGAAATTCAAGGGTATGCATATACTTGTACGTATGTACTATGTAATAAGTACATGTATGAATAAATGAAAGGAAGAAAAATACACACACACCAAAAAAAAAAAAAAGTTTGAGAAAAACTAAACGGCAAATTAACATTTGAATAAAAATATCGACAACAATAAATACTATTGCCCAAACTGTATAATCAAACAAGGGCAAAGGTAGCGAGTACAGTTTACTAAACTGGAGAATACATGAGCAATAAACAAAAAGAGGTTTCTCAGATATTTGGCATCTCCTGTTAATAATCTAACAAAGGGGTGGGGAGTGATGTGCATTGTTGCCCCGGGCTGGTCTTTAGGGGATGCAGGACATTGGTTGGCTGACTCAGATTTCCTTATACGGTTACTGGTGGCATGCACCTGTTTGTATGGGTTGATGCCTACTGACTGGCATCTCCCCTGTGAGCAGGTTGTTTGAGGTATTTTTTTCCTTTTTCCCTCTTTGTTTCCAACATCCTCGTCCATAACGATCCCCTTCATAAGCATCCTCTTTTTCCCCACTCCAGAACATATATGTTTTCTTATTCTTTGAACAATGTGAGGCACGACATTGTTTAACCCCTTAAGGACTATGGACGTACCTAGGTATGTCCGACAAAAAACGGTCCTTAAGGACCGCAGACAGACTTAGTAAGTCGGTGGCAAATATATTACTTACCCGATCGCCGCTGTCCCCCCGCCAGTGATTGATGTTGCTCCCGGTCTGGGGGGGGACTGTGCAGAGTATGTTCGCTTAATGCGTTTCGTCTATAGAGCTGAGATAGCTCTTGAAGTCATTCTATAGACGAAACGCGTCGAGTGAACATACTCAGCACAATGACTCTTGGACAAGCCTGAATTGAAGCCTGAATTGAAGGAGTGCCATTCCTATTTTGAAATTATAAGAAAGGTGAACAATGTGTCTCAGAACCCACAAAGACTCCACAGGACTTACAGAGTATACTAGGGCCTTTTGTGCCATTTTAAATTGTAAATGTGTGTTTTTTTATGTTTACACATATATTGTTGTAATAAATCCTACACTATCAGTTTTTTTCTTTTTGTTTTTCCTTTTCGCTGTTCCACTGTTACCATACTACAGAGTATTTATACCTGAATAACAGTCTACCAATACATCAACTCCAGGTAACAGATTTATTGCTATAGACACCTTTAAAAGTAAGGTGGTGTTGTGTGATTGCACTATTGAGTATCATTCATCTTTGCACCTAAGGCTTTACATTGTATACCATTTTATGTATTTGTAGAACCATAAGAGGGGGTTCTGTCTTTTAGGCAGCTCTATACACCACTTATTTAAGATTGCGCATTTTCTTGGCTATAAAAAACATTGTTAAAGCACAGCCAAAACAGTATTCAAGTATCCTCTATAATCCAATATAGATAATTGGGCGCCTGTTCTAATGAAGGATATCATGGCACTGGAGAGGGTCCAGAGACGAGCTACAAAATTGATAAAAGGAATGGAGCATTTTAGTTATGAAGAAAGGTTACAAAAATTAAATCTGTTTCGTTTGGAAAAACGGCGCCTGAGAGGGGATATGATAACTATATACAAATATATTCGGGGCCAGTATAAACCTTTATCTGGAAATCTATTCATAAACAGGGTTATACATAGGACACGAGGTCACACATTTAGGCTGGAAGAAAGGAGATTTCATCTAAGGCAAAGAAAAGGTTTTTTTACAGTAAGAACAATAAGGATGTGGAATTCTCTGCCTGAAGAGGTGGTTTTGTCAGAGTCCATACAGATGTTTAAACTGAAATTGAATAAATACTTACAAAAACATAACATACAGGGATATAATTTCTAATTAGTGGGGTAATAGCTGATTGATCCAAGGAGACATCTGACTGCTATTTTGGGGTCAAGAAGGAATTTTTTCCTAGTTTGTGGCAAAATTGGAAGTGCTTCAGACCAGGTTTTTTGCCTTCTTCTGGATCAACAGCAACAACATTTCTGAGGAAGGCTGAACTTGATGGACGCAAGTCTCTTTTCAGCTATGTAACTATGTAACTATGTAACTATGTAACTATGTACCAAATATACCTTAATGCATATTATCATGATTATTATGGGCTGCGGTGCTACTAACAGTTGGTTTTCCCCATCTCTTGTGTGCTAAGCAGAGCACAAATCTACGTGTAAATGGAAGGTTACTATGATTTTTAGTAACCTCAGCCATTTATATAGCTGCTGTACAGACTGTTGTGGACACAGGCTTGCAGTGCTTAATGATGACTAGTACAAATGGGTTATCACACACTACAGGCTACAGAGAGGGGGACAGAATGAGAGAAGCAAAAAAACATATGTATAGTAACCAGCAATAATGAAGTATTTTAGAACTTAAGAGGGATAGAAAAGGCAGGTTTAATTTGCTACAGAATGCAGCAAATACAGATTTTTGCGCACATACTATACAGAATTTAGCCTTCAAATTATACATGTTTAGGACAAAAGTTATATAAAATGCATCGAAAGTTGTATTAATGCCGGGTATGCATGGGTTTAATAAAAGCGATGTTTAAGACCGCATCCATTACAAACGGTAGCTGCAGAAATACATTTAAAACCATGATTTCTCCGGAAGACAGCCACTAGAGGCTGGATTAACCCCTAATGTAAACATAGCAGTTTCTCTGCAACTGCTGTGTTTGCATCTGAAGGGTTAAAACCAGAGGGACCGGGCACCCAGTCGTCTGGGTGACTATAGTGTCCCTTTAACCCCTTAAGGACCGGTGACTGTTCAGGACCGTCATTGGCGTTTTTGCGTTGCCGACCGCTGACGGTCCTGAACCGTCACAACGGTCTTATGTACTTACCCAATCGCTGTCGTTCCCCCAGGCGGTGCTCCCGGTGTGGGGAGACTGCCTGCAGCCCATACAGTCTACCCATGGCGGATTAGGACCCCTGGGGCCATGTTATCGCTCAACAGAGTGATCACATGGTCACAATAGGTGTCCATGTGTCTGCCTGCAGGGGGACTGCCTGTGCTGACAGGCAGTCTCCCTGCTAGTGTAAAATCAAAAAAAGAATACATGTAAATGTTAATAAAAAAAATAATAATTACGTGTTTATAAATATAATAGACATATATTATATCTATATAATATGTCTATATCTCATATATATGTCATACTAAATGTATTTACAATACACTTATAATTAAACTGTTTATAATGTAATGAAACATTGTGAGTTTCTAGGCCATTTAAAGGAGAACACCTGGAAACATAGGACAGCAACTGAGGAAGCCTCTAACAGAGGTGAAACGCGTTTTGCACCTTATATAAGGACTATACCTTCTGAACTGTAAGGTTTTTTTTATTTATTTTTATATATTTTAAATTATTGTTGTGCATTTTGCAATAAAGCACTTTACCCTACTACACCTTGGGAAGACATCCTATTTTTGAATACCACAGGCAATAGCACAGAGCCATTACTTCTGAGCCTCTATATTGGCTCTACGTTTGTGAGTGTTCTACCTTCCACATATATAGTATCATTCCACTGTGAACTGGCTATATTGCACTCTCTCTCTTTATTTATGCTTATATTTTAGAGCATACCCCTACAAGGACAAGTTTTTTGCACCTGTTATTGGAAGAATTATTGTGTACATATACTCCACCTTATACCGTATGTACATGTTTGTGTTTGTGTGGGGATAAAGGGAAAACCCACATAAGGTGTTTTAAGTATTTGTCATCGCATTTGGTGCCACTCATTGGGATATTGTTATACAAGTGATACTTATAGCCCTATAACTTGCAAAA